CTCTCTCTCTCTCTCTCTCTCTCTCTCTCTGTCCGTCTGTCTGTCTGTCTTTCTCTCGCACTCACTCGCTCTCGCCCTCCCTCTCACTCTTGGTCTCTTGTTCTTTCTATCTTTCTTCGTCTCCATCTATCCGTCTTGCACAGGCTGCGGTATACGGCCACAACCAATAGCAGTTGGTGCACGGGATGCCGTCACGGATAATTACATCTCTGTACGCGTCACAAAAAATTATATACATATCGATGCGTTGCTTTTCGGCGGTCGGAGAGAAAAACGAAGAAAAGGATACGAAGAAAAAGAAGTGGCCTTGGGCGGAGCCACAACGTTTGTTTACTATTTTTGCCACTCCTTACCCCACCCCAGCATTCCAGTTAACACGGGCTGAACCGATATCTACATGTCTTATCACGGTCGTTTCTAGTGCGTAGACGTGGGGGAAAATACCAGACTAAAAAATCGAAATAGCTCTCTCTCTATCTCTATCTCTATCTCTCTCTATCTCTCTCTTCTGGCACGTAGCCTCGCACAGGGCATGCGCACTGGAATGCTCTATTAGCGTTGTTGATCTCCGGCAGAACGAGTATAAAAAGCCCGCGCGTGTAGTCATAATAATATCAGGAGTCAATTGATAGACTCCTGATAATATGATAGCGCTTGGCCTTGACAGATAGTTGTTCCCCGTACGGAGCACAGGCACTTGGAACGTCTCAATAAAAAAAAGGGTAAATAAACACGAAATGTATTTACTACCAAAGTCTTAATGTTTCTCTACTCTATTTCGCCTATAATCACCTGTAAATGCCAGTCAAATGCTCATCTGCAACACGCAAGTACACCGAACGCCCGAGCTGTGCACAAACAACATGAACAAGAAAGGATAATAACAACAAGAGGAGATAATAACAACACTCTCTTATTCATGTTGTTTGTGCACGCAGCACAGGGCGGGCGTGCGGTGTACTTGTGTGTTGCAGATGAGCATTTGACCGGCATTTACCGGTGATTATAGGCGAAATAGAGTAGAGAAACATTAAGACTTTGGTACATATTTCGTGTTTATTTACCATTAATTTTTTTATTGAGACGTTCCAAGTGCCTGTGGTACGGAGTTACGCGTGGTTATATTATAGCGCTAATGTCATGCTATGAGTGCGTTGTTTGCACATTTTGCATCGTGTCTTGCGGCGTGGACACGTAAAATGCCTGCGCGTGTGCGCGTAGTCATGCAGTCATTGGCCTTGACCGATAGTTGTTCCCCGTACGGAGTTACGTGTGGTTATATTATAGCGCTAATGTCATGCTATGAGTGCGTTGTTTGCACATTTTGCATCGTGTCTTGCGGCGTGGACACGTAAAAAGCCCGCACGTGTGCGCGTAGTCATGCAGTCATTGGCACAACGTACCCTGGTACTATCTAATATGCCGGACCGTACCTCGCTTACTCCACTAACGAGTCTAGGGAGTCGCCTACGCCTACTCCCTAACCCTAACCCTAAGCCTAACCTTAACCCTAACCCTAACCCTAACCATAGCCCTAACCATATAAAATAGTTACCAGGGTACGTTCCGGTATACCGGACCGTACCTAGGGTACGTTCCGGCAGTACCCTGGGGGACATAGACCCTATGAGCGTCATTGGCCTTGACCGATAGTTGTTCCCCGTACGGAGTTACGTGTGGTTATATTATAGCGCTAATGCCATGCTATGAGTGCGTTGTTTGCACATCTTGCATCGTGTCTTGCGGCGTGGACACGTAAAAAGCCCGCGCGTGTGCGCGTAGTCATGCAGTTATTGGCCTTGACCGATAGTTGTTCCCCGTTCGGAGTTATTATTAAGTGTTATTATAGCGCTGATGTCATGCTATGAGCGCGTTGTTTGTACATATATTGCATCGTGTCTTGCATCGGGGTTGCACGAGGCAAGATATGGCGAGGGATCTCGCTATCTTAGTCGAGATACTGTTCAATATAATCAGCAGTAAAATAATAACAATTAAACAATAATAAAAATAATATGTGAATTCTGATATCTGTCTATAACTGGACGTAATCAGAAGTAACCAGAGAAATAATCAGAAGTAATCAGAAGTAATCAGAAGTAATCAGAGTTTAGAGCAGCGGCAGGAATTATCGCAGACCTTATCGTGTATTTTAGTCACTTAGTATATCTTTGAATTCTGGTGATGTACGGGAATATAGCAATTAGGAGCAAAGCTACATTCGTGGTAACATTTGAATATGTATGAAGAAGTTAAATAGGTAACTTTTGAGGTAATGTTTATTAAGTTTGACATTATAAATCATGGGCAGACTAATGCTGGTAAATGCGAAATGACCCTTTAGGTCTACCTTAATTGTTTTGGCGTGCATTAATTACTCTGGTATTATTTAGGTCTGATGACATTGATGAAAAAATGTGGCTTGCTTGTACTTGCTTATTTGTGGGCTATTTTCACAGCTGTCTGAATCTTGACTTCAGGGAGGAACTTTGTAGGTACTTTCGAGGTATTTGGTTTATTTTTGTGTATTCCGTTATTTCACTGAACTACATAAATATTTCATAAATTTTCACCAGAAGGCGCATATGCCACCTAGCTTCTAGTTGAAACACCGTTAGCACAGATTACTGTAGCGGATTACGACTTACTGGTATACCTATTGCGGATTACTGGTAGCGCATATTTTCTGAATCGATTTGCAGACGAGAATTAAGACAGCTACTAGTGCATGGCGTCATTTGCATTTCTCATTCAGCTTGCAGTGACAATATCGATTGCTAGCAAACTCTCATTGATTCGATATCGCTACTTTGCATCAGCATATATATCCGATTATTACGATTATCATGGAACTTAGTGTGTCCTTTTATATTGGAAATAATAGAGGCCAAATAAGTAGTTCGAGAGTTATTGCGGATTGCATTCACGCGCACTGCCGGTGGCAGTATCTGTTTACATAGCGAGCGTGCGCGTGATGGTGACGTCACTATACTCACTACAACGTACGGTCCTTGCATCACCGGTTCACCGGCAGTGTAAGTAAACGACTACTGCTGGCACTTTGCCGACAATCGCTAGGTTTCTTCATATATATATATATATATACGGTTCACCGGCAGTGTAAGTAAACGACTAACACACACGCGATAATCTATTACACGACGCGATGCTAACAAATGCTAGGTCTGTGCCAAACTAGTAAAAATTCATGTCATAACATCAGGGTAATCAAAAATTGTAAGCTGTTATTACTCAACTCTATAACCGGGGTTCTACACTACGTAATATTCGCACACAAACTCATTATCACAGTGGGTATTGTTTTGGCGGATGGGATATATAGTGATAGTATTTAGAATCTACGTTGCTACAACTACACGGTAGTGGATAATGACTATTTATCTAATAACCCTGAGTTTGAGCTTCACCACGGCGTACACCGTTAGATTTGCATAAATAGCTATGCAAACACGGTGTTCACTTCACATGGTGACGTTGTGCACGCGTAATAATGCTCGTTCGATCACATGACTACATATATATATATATATATATATATATATAATTCTGGAAGTGAAGCGACCGTAAGTGCTCGGAATCGCGTGTCTCGAGCTCACGGCAGTCAGACAACGATCGAGAAGAAAATCACGAGTAGAGTCACAACCATCACAATGCAGCGCTGCTGCTGCCTGGAATTCAGCGACCTGAACAGGTTCGTGCTCTCGTCTCGACAATCTACGGCCGGGAACATCTCGTTCACCAGGTCCGAGAAGATGGCTTTCGTTGTGTCCTCCTCGAGCGCGAGCAGGTCTTTGGTTGCCATGGCAGGCGGAGACCTAACGATGACGTCAGACGATGCGCGCGCACCCTGCCGCCTCCGCATCTCGGCTTCCCTCAGTCTCAGCGCGGCGGGAACCGGAGACGGAGTCCGCGACGACGACCTTCTCACGTACAGCTGGAAGGACGACGTCTGCGTAGATTTGTCCACCATCTTCACCGATTTCGCTTTGGGTTTTTGTCCGGTCTTCGCAGGTTTGCGCGCAGTGGGTGCGGCGAGAGTGGTCGAGCTATTTGCGCCGCTGACCTTTACCTGACAATCAGTCGATGTCGGGTCGGTAGAATTGTCTGGTGATGACGAAATTTCGTCGGATTTAACCGGTTTAATGCGCGTGACTTGAGTACCCCACGGGACACGCTTGGACTTTGCGTTCAAGGCACACTGTTGTTGAGCATGAGGCGTGTTGTTAGCGACGCTACATGAATAAGGAATCGCAAGTCCGTTATTCGTCCCGTAACCCGTAGCGATGTTGAGAACCTTTGATGACCACGGCTGAGGGTAAACATCACCATCGCTGTAGTCAACCTCAACAAATCTCCCGCCGATAGTACTAGAAGCACGCGTTATTGCCTGCCAGGGCGGACACACAATGTTACTATAGACATCGCTAACGTCAGTTGTGTCAAGTGCCCACGCGATGGCGCCAGCTATGCCAGCATCTCGAAGAACATTCGCCTGTAGAAAGACATA